TCATGACGTACAGTGTTGGCACTAGGCTTTACATGAAATTTTTATTATGTGTTATGTATATATACACTCCTAACGAATGGCAGAAGCTTGGCTGTGTCTATGACTGAGAGAGAAATTCTGATTGGGTGCTTGGGCATTTTAAGATTTTAACCCTTTTGTTTCCAAACAAAACTTAACAATAAGGGTATGACTACAATATTTATCATATTGTAATATATAAACAATAGAATTTCTCAGTCACAGTCAAGCTTCTACCCAACTTTTTTGGAAACCAGGTTGAAAGATGGGAACTGTATAAGCTAAGTAACACTAACAGGCAGAACTATGTTCTTGTATGATGTAACTGAGTGGTTTGCCTTAGGTGGCAGACTTTTTCCGGGAATTCAGTATGCCATATGTGTATGCTTTGTAGCATAGTAAGCTAATAATCATGGAATATTTATAAAGTAGCATCTTCTACAGTGTGGTAGATTTTATGGAAAAGTAATTTTGAAAAAAGCATCAGAAGAGGCCTATGTACCCTGTTTCGACAACTGTCCTGCGACCCTCAGGTTTGAGTATCACTTGTTTGTGTCGCTTTTGAGGATGCTTGATATTTACTTGATAGGGCATTTGCTGCAGTTAGGCATCTTACTTATTTTCTTACTGTAGTGTAAGTAGTGTATTCAAAATGTAAATATATTAGAATATTTGACAAAAAACAAGGTAATGATGTTGGATGATTAGTTCTGGATCATTCCTCATTGGATGGAGCTCCATCACTCTACAGATCACAGGTCCACTGCTCCACAGCCCTGCGTTCAGGGCTTTATACCCCTCTTGCCAATGATTGGCATTGGTGACCTTTGGCTCATGTCTGGCTGCTCCAGAGCATCCCTTTCTATTCACAGTGCTTTTCTATGGAGATTATACAAGCTGTGTGTACACAATTGAACGCGTGTCAGCAATGGTGCACCTAAAACTAGCTGAATTCACTAATTTGAAGGGGTGTCTGATGTACATTTCCCAACAAGCCACTAACTAAACTGTAGCTGATCTATTCAGTAAAAACTGCTGTAAAAAAAGACAGAGGTGAAATGCTGGAACCGTTCAAGAACAGATGGCCACAAACAGTTACATCATTCACAAGCTTGCTGACATCAAAATGACTGACGGCGTTTTGAGGTGATCACAGCTTTTGTTAGAGTCTCTGTTGATGGCTCTGGAAGTAATTAAAAGGAACTAATTATTTTACACTAAGCGCACAGCATGAGGTCTGTTATTTAACTCATGCACACTGTCCGCTTTATTAGAAACGCCTACTGTGTTCTTCCACTCACTGACCACTTTATTAGAAACAGTCACCCTATTTGTCCTTTATGTACAGTACTTTGCAAAACCACCCACATTTAACCCACAGAAAACAGAAAATTAAAGCCTAAACAAGTAAATATAATATCAAATATGTTCAGTATTTAGTGTGTCCACTCTTTGTCTTTATTAGTTTCCATTCTTTTCAGGAGATTTGTTTTCAGTTTTTCAAAGACATCTGCAGGGATATTTTCCCACACCTCCAAAGTTAAGTTTCAGAAGTTGGTTGCATTTTAAGCTTCTCACAATCCCAAGCAATCCCAGTTCAAAATTTTCGTTCATCGGTCCATAAGCTTACTCCATGTGTCAGCTCCTTCATATCTCCAGCTTCAGTGTTCTAGTGCAATTTTTCTTATTTTCTCAGTAACAGCTGAGAGCTGTCAGCTATACATCCTTTCAGACCCATAACACTGAATCTTCTCACAGTGGAAGGATGGACAGGGACACCTGATGTTTTAGATCGAAAGTAAGAGTGGAGCTTAATTTTCTCTTATCTCTCAAAGATGACAGCTTTAAGTGCTGTTTTTAGTTTTAGTGGTCTATCAGGTATGGTTGTTAGGAGAACCATCTTCTATATAGCTTTATTTTTTTTTCTTTACAGTTTTGAAAATTCTGGTTTTTTTTTCTTTTCCTTTGCTTTTCCTTCTGCAAATGGAATATCTTAAATCTAATCATCTAATTTCCTCAGAAATATCTCCTTTAGCCAATTTAGATGCCCATGAGAAAGAGATTTGTAAGGCAGCTATGGTGAGTTTGGGTAGTTGCTTGTGTGACTGTAAGTGTCTCTTTAAAGGGGAACATAATGTCAGTGAGAGTTTTGGGAACAGCTTTTGTTGGGAGTACTGGTTAAGTTTAAAGATGGAAGGATGGAAGAGTTAAAGTGTACAAAAGTAAAGAGCAAATACTGATAGATTTGATAGATATCTATCATGCATACTGATAGATATAATGTTTAGTCGTTTCTGTATAATTTTCTGTTAATTATATGTTTCCTGCCATTTTTCCAGACACCGAAAAACGAATAACTTGTACTTAATGGTTTTGACTGGAAATTAAATAAATAAAAGGGTGGTCTCTGACTTTTATACAGTACTGCAGGGGTACTACTATCTGTTGTCATGTGTAATTTGTCACTTGCCATCTATTCTATTTATCAGTGGTCAGTTTCTGACTACAATGGCACTGTTTATCAGATATTATTTGTGTGACCTGGTAGTGTGTGTGGTGCTGGTACGAGTGTACCAGGCACAGTGGTGTTGCCAAGGGTTTTATACTCATCAGTGTCACTGCTGCGTTGTGAGTGGTCCACCACCCAAAAATATTCAGTCAAGAGCAGTTCAGTGCTCAGAAACTGACCACTGATGAAGAGCTACAGGATGTGTAATATAAACTGTGCATCAACAGATAACTGTACACCAAAAAGCTGCAAGGTGGATGTTTCTAATAAAGTGAGGGATGCGTGTGTGAGTCTGTGCACAGGACATTGTTTTCCGCAGTACAGGCACAGTGACAGATTTCATAACAAATTGGCAAGCAAGCACTTAATTCTCCAAAAACACTGCAGGGAGGTGTCAGAGGTCCTCCAGAAATGCATAGACAGACAAAAATAGTAAGAAATCCTGATCCAGTTACCAGCATAAGAGGATGCATTTGCACTGTGTACTCAAAATCTGTTCTATTTTGGATTCTGTGCAGTGGAATAGTTGCAGTGTGCACTTTCAGTGCTTCCACAGGATTTTTCACCCTAGTAGTTGCTTTTCTTTTGGTATTCAGTAACTATATTTGACTAAATGTATCAGAGCAGGTCTTTGTATATTGTCACATTACATCACCAAAGCTGTTCTTCAGCTCTGGTCTAGTGTGTAGTGTGTATGTGGTGTGGGGTGGGGGGGGATGTGGGATAACCGGGACTTCCCGCATAAGCCCTTCTGCGTCAGCAACCTGCATAGCAAGCAGCTTCTATTCAGAGAAACTACGCCATCTAGAGCTCCTAACAAAAAACAAGCCTGGGGCTTTTTGTCATTTACAAGTCAAGTTCATTTTAGAATTGCAAGTGTAATTATAATTAATATTATTATGTGTATAAATGTAAAGAGAGAGTAAGAGAGAGAGAGAAACAGAGAGAGAGAGGGACTGTGTAACTAGTCTACAAATGTCAGGCAGCCATGGAAATTGTTTAAAAATTATTTAAGTGTGTAAAGTAAAAACACATTAGAAAAAATATAACATTAGAATAAAAATAAATTAATTAATTAAAAACAGCTAACCATTACCAATTTCCTACTTTATCCCACACAAAAACAGAAATGATAGTTTAGACAACAGCACTATTGCACTGATGCAAACCATTATTTAGTTTACCCTATTCATCTGTCTTGCTGTCTTAAGTGAATGCAATGTGTCACTAACGTTGTCATCTGCTGGGGAATTCACAGCTAACAGTCAACTTTAGTACAAATCAAACATTTTTTCTGTGATTTTTACATTTTAAAGTTCTGAGTTGTATGCTTGAGGTGGAACAGTACTTTTGGGCTTGATTTTTGCCACAAAAAACACAAATAAATGCTTCTTTGGGTGCATCCATACTTAAGAAACTCCTTTTCCAGAGAATATGATAGGATTTCTAGAGACCTGTCGATTCGCATGAGATTAATATAACCTGAGGTTACATCTCTGTGGTTGGCTTTGTAGCAGGTAAAAGATGTCAGAATCTCTACTGATGCAAGACCACACAGTCTGTAAAAACGACTGATATTCGGACGGGACTAAAATCACTGAGAACCTCCCCATGTAAAACTAATCCCAAGTACTACTAAAGATGTCTAAAAGATAATATTTGACCTGCAGTCTGTTTGTGTGAAAGCAGGCCTTTATCAAATTCTGGACCTGTCGTTGCCCTACAGCAAGCATTTCCATCAGCAACTGTGACAGCTGTGGCAGTTGTTTTGTTAATCTTCTAAGTGAAAATAAACTAATGCTGACTAGAAGGGGTGTATAGTCCTCTACAGGGACTTAAAAAATTCAGATAACATAAAAATGAGAGAGACAGAGACAGAGAGAGACAAGAGAGAGTAGACAGGAGGACAAAAATAGTAGTTCAAACCAAAAACACCAAACCCAGAGAGCAGTTTTGACTAGATATTGCTCAATCCTAACTGACCCCACCCCAGGCACTTCAGCCATTACAAGCATTTTAATTAACTGCATCGGTAAAATCACACAGATTATCACCTTGACTGCAGTGCACCATGGGAGCACTTGTTTCTGCACAGAGATCAGTCAAATTGTACTTTGCTAAATCCAGAAGTAGCCTAAGTGGATCACATAAGCTCATGAAGTGTCCTCATTTTAGGGAACAGTTGGTGTGTCCGCTGACTTTCTAATGAAGTGCACTAGGTAAGTGTAGTGAACAAGGTGTAAGTGCACACTTTCGCCCACGGCCTCAACCTCTCTGGCAAAGGGGATGGGTAAAGTGACTATAGTCCATATTTGGCACATTTTTTAGCGCAGTGCTTCTCTCAGTGATCATAAGGTGGAGAGCTGTGTATATACGATCCATCCATCCATCATCTAAACCGCTTATCCTTCTGGGTCGCGGTGTGTGTATATACGATGATGGGTGATATTTGTTGCTTGTAATTTTTTCCCAGAAATTGTGAGGGCGATGACTCACGCTATTAACCAGGGAATGGCCATGTACTGGGGGACATCACGCTGGACTGCCATGGAGATCATGGTCAGTTGAACATTTTATTTTTATAATACTTTTGTTGACATATACAGTCATATGCTAAAGTTGGCCATTTCTGGTTACAAATTACATGTTTTGTTGCATTTCTAAGTGAAAATTAAGTTAACACATCCTCTACATGAGCAAACCTTAGTATTAAATTTCTATATGTTGGCTGAGTTTAACATATTGGGAAACTTTTGCACTGGACACATCTTATATTTTATTTTATTTCCCAATACGTTTAGCAAATAAACAGTAATTTTGTGTTTAAAATGTTTAAAATGTGCAGATGTGTGTTCTCTGTAGAGGATGTGTTTACTTATTTTCACTTCAAAAAAACATTTCATGATGAATGGACCAACAAAAATAATCTAAAACCACTTGGAATAAAATCTACTTTAACATACAATGCTGTGCAAAAGTTAATACTGTGTCAAAATTGCTATTACGTACAAATCATTCATTTCTCAGGAGATATTTCTCAGGAGATTAGATATAAGCCGATCCACTTGCATATAGTTACTGTCTAAATCTCCATTTATTGCATTTGCTTTGTCTTTTACATTGTGTGAAAATGTCATCATTGGACCAACAAAAAATCAAAAAAAATTATTAAAGGATATAGAACAAATTGCAGGTAAATTCCATATTTAAGTTTCTTTCCTGCTCAGGATGTGTTCACTTATTTTCGCCCCTACAATATTTACATATTTTTATGTACTCACAGTATTCACAAACCCTAGATTCTCTCTCTCTCTCTCTCTCTTTTTAGGAGGCGTACTCTGTGGCTAGGCAGTTTAACCTGATTCCTCCGGTGTGTGAACAGGCTGAGTATCATTTCTTCCAGAGAGATAAAGTGGAGGTGCAGCTGCCTGAGCTCTATCATAAGATAGGTATGTCTACATTTAGTCCACACTGACAAAGTAATGTAGTGAATTAACCTATTAATTTTACATTTCCCTTGGTCGATCAAACTAAATGGCCAAAAAGCTCATTTTTGACAAAACAAAAGAAAATGCTAATTTATTGTATCAGTGCATCCTTAAACGGTATATCATATTTTATTACTAAAGTACCTCCAAATTTTTTATAGATATCAAAGTTTTACAGTGCAAGCAAAATTTTTTGCTTCTTCTTTTTTCAGAAATGTGAACAGAATTTTGATTGAGGACCACACGTGCAAGAAAACATTTTGACCTGAGTAGCCTACCACGTATTCGTTGTGTGTGAATACAAACGTGTGGGATGCACTGGAAAAATCGAGCACTACTGTTTTAACAGGGTATCATGAGAAAATGAACCTACATGGGTCACAAGAGGCCTGACTAACTGGCTAAAGAACAAACCTGCATAGCTTTCACATCTGATTGTTTTGTTCAGAGCAGCAAGTGAGAGACTTGTTTTTTTGCTTTGGCTGCAGTCTCACAGCAGTGAAGTTTGTTTTGACACGTATTGCACAGTGTCATCTCAGGAACACAGGTCTTTGCCCAGCGCCATTAGCCAATATGCTCCTATACCACAACCCAAGGTCTGAGCAGATTACTTTTCAGGCCAATAAGTCTTAAAAAACAGAAAGCAAAAAAACAAAGGTGAGCACCAGAGATGTATTGGCCAGAGTTTAATGGGAACCTGGATTAGACTGGATTTCCCATCTACCATCCTTATATGGCTGTATACGTCCAAAATGGTTAACGGTTTGAGTTGACACCTATGCTTTACATGACAAAGCATGTAAGCATGCAAAGGACATGCCAAAATACACAGGCACTATTATAAATATGCTCTTGCATCGTTGTGTTTTATGTGTTTCCATTGTAGGTGTGGGTGTGGTGTCCTGGTCTCCTCTGGCCTGCGGAATCATCACAGGAAAATACGAGAACGGTGTCCCAGAATCCTCTAGGGCATCCATGAAGGTTGGCCTGCACTTCACTGCCAATAGTCCAATGTTTAGACTTTACACAAAGCTCAAATGAACAGGGCCCAGTTCCCCAAAAGCTTTGTAGTATTAAGATCATCTTAACTGGTAGAGAGAGTGTTCAATGTGATGCTCTCTTTACCATTTAAGAATGATCTTTGTGCTAAGATGCCTTTAAGAAGCCCAGCCCTGGTAAATAGACTCATAGATAGTCAGACAGATAAGTAACTATGTATATAAATGCATGTCTTATGAAGGTGCTAGAGTGCAACAACTGCTGGCAGTCACTAATCTTAGGAAACTGTATATTTATTATCAGTATGTGTCAAAGTGAAATCCTTTTAGAGACACTAAACAGCTGCCATAGACTAGACTGTATCATTTGACTCCTTTTTATAAGCACAATTTTGTACATGTTGTACTTGTACATTTTACTTATGCACTTACTTCTAACTCACTGATAGAAATGATATTCTTTTTTTCTAGAGCTCCATAATTTCAACTTTTTTCCTAAAGATATTAGGCATGAAATATCACTGTTATGTAAATGGCATACATAACTTGTCAAAATTTTAGGGAGACCTAGCTTTACCAAATGTTTTTGCTCACTTATCATATTACATAGAAAACTGTTTAAATGTTGCTGTTTTTCTGTGCAACAACTGTCATTCTTCACACATTTTATCCCCTTGTTGTGATGTTATCAAAAAAGATTTGCTTTTAATAAGATTTTGGAAAACTGTCAAATTATTATGAACTCTCCATACTGAGGAGGACACTTTAATGAATATGAATAGCTGAATTTGACCTATCTGACAACTGTCTAGGGTTAGGCCTAACATTCAAATAAGCACAACAAATTGACATTCCTCTGTCCAGTACTATATATAATGATGTGTGCATCCACAAAATGCTGTCATGGCCAGTTGGATGAATGAGCAAAAGACAGACTGGCCGGAAGACAGTGGAGCTAGCTTGCTAGCTCTGTTATGCTTGCTAAGTTACAGCGGGGAGAAAATAAGTGTTCAACATGTCAACTGTTTTTTATGAAACATATTTCCAAATGCAGCTATTCACATGAAATAAACTGCTGCATGTGGCCGGCTGATGGTCGAGTGATGTTCCTTCTACTTGCGGATAATTGCCTCAATGGTGCTCATATGAACATTTAGAAGTTTTCGTGACAGTTTGGTGACAAAGGATTTGTTTACTTGCATTTAGAGGTGGGCAACCCTTTTTCAAAGAGTGGAAGTACTGACCTACCAACACACTAACCCACACTAACCTGATTCTAATTAGCAGAGGTGGGAGAGATAATTAGTAGAATCAGCTGGTTTAGTGCTTTTCTTACTACGTTTAATACTTTTTTTCCTGTGTCATTCAACTTTGTTGGACAACAGTGAGTTCATACCAATGTCTGACATAAATTTAATGTAAATAGCTGCACTGGTAATATGTTTCATAAAAACATTGTCAACACATGGAATACTTCTTTCCCCCAATGTAGCTGTTGCTACCTAGGTTGCTCAGCCTATAAGAAAGGGAGATTATGAGGAATGCATGATGTTGTTAAAGCTGTTTAAGCATACAAACCAGATCCTTGTGATTAGAGCAGGAATACCCAATCCTTTCTGCAAAGGGCCGGTGTGGCTGCAGGTTTTCATTCCAACAAAGCAGTAGGTCACCTGATGAACAGTTTGAAGACTGAGACCAGCTGATTAAACAATTGGCATCAGGTGTGCTCCAGCTTGTTTGGAGTGAAAACCTGCAGCAACCCTGGCCCTTTGTGGACAAGAATGGACACCCCTGGGTTAGAGCAATGCTTACATAAGCTTTATCCAAAATTAGGGCTGGCCAATTTACATTGAAAGGGGAAAAATCGGCCATCCATTAGACATTAGAATGTTATTCATGGGACGCACTTTGTGTAATATAAACCTAATTAGAAAGATACCAGGTTCCCTGGGACTTAAACCAAGCTAATTTGTGCTGTTTCTGTTGTGTGTGTATGTGTACAGTCGTACCAGTGGCTGAAGGACAAGATAGTGAGTGAGGATGGGAGGAAACAGCAGGCTAAGCTGAAGGAGCTGAGACACATCACTGAAAAACTCAACTGTACACTGCCACAACTCGCCGTCGGTGAGTCAAAAACACAAACCTTGCTTTTGCTCACAGGCCTCATATACTTCACAGAACTGTTACTGCATTATTAGACTACATTTATGTCTCACTGACGGCCCTCTCTTCTCCTCTGCTGCAGCCTGGTGCCTACGGAATGAGGGAGTGAGTTCAGTTCTTTTAGGGACGTCCAACCCTGCACAGCTCACAGAGAACCTGGGCGCAATTCAGGCACGACAAGCTCTTATTATGATTTGGCCAACACTGTACACAAGCACTGAAACTAAAACTTGTCTGGGTGATTTCCAGCTGGCTGCTTTAGTTATTGTTTTATCGAAATAATGATGTAGTTATGGTGAATATATGTATCTCTCTCTCTCTCTCTCTCTCTCTCTATATATATATATATATGCCATAACTACCTAATTAATTCGATACACCGACAGGCCACTTTGTCCATTTTATCAGGTCTGTTTACCATACAGGTCTACTTTGTACCACCACAGAGCAGGTATTATTTGGGTGGTGGATCATTCTTAGCACTGCAGTGACACTGACGTGGTGGGGGTGTGTTACTGTGTGTTGTGCTGGTACAAGTGGATCAGACACAGCAGTGCTGCTGTAGTTCTTAAACATCTCAGTGTCACTGCTGGACTGAGAACAGTCCACCAACCAAGAGGATGATGACCCACACGACTGCAGCGAAAGATGAGCTACTGACTCTGACTTTACGTCTACAAGGTAATCCAACAAAGTGGGAGTGTCTAATAGTGTGGACAGTAAGTAGACAGTGTTTAAAAACTCCAGCAGCACTGCTGTATCTGATCCACTCGTACCAGCACAACACACACTATCACAGCACGTCATAAATGTCAGTGTCACTGCAGTGCTGAGTATGATTCACCACCTGATCTGTGGTGGTCCCGTGAGGGTCCTGACCGTTGAAGAACAGGGTAAAAGGGAGCTAATAAAGTATTCAGAGAAACAGATGGATTAGTCTGTAATTGTAGAATTACAAAGTGCACCTGTATGGTAAATGGAGTTGATAAAATGGACAATGAGTGTAGATACAAGGTATGTGTATTTAATGAAGTGGGGGGTCCATGTGTGTACATTTAAGGCACAAATCAGGACAACCAATCAGACCAGATGTCATTTACATATGTTTAAGGCACAGTTTACAATGTGTTTAATTCTAAAGGAAGGTTGGAAAATGGTCATGTGAAATGAGTTATGGCTGTTTTTAGTACAAAAAAATAAAATGCAAGAAATGCTTTATTGGCCATGTAAGATGTGGCAATAGTACACATTAAGACCGGCATGCTAACATTTATGCCTAAATAAATGGAATAGGGTATAATAGAGAATTAAAGATATATTAAATAAAAAATAGCGAAAAATTAGAATGTCTAATGAATTGCAGTATGTGCAAAAGTCTTATAAAGTTTTACAATAGATTTTAGAAATTTAAAGCTGCACTATGTAAGACCTTTTGTTAAAATTGAAAGAAGTAGCATTACTGAATAAGAAAAAAAACGCAAAAAGCAGCAGTGAGTCACCCTGTAAAGCCTGAAATAATAATTTAATAGTCAGAGACATTGGGTTGGATTTCGCAGGGGTTTTTGGACCAATGTCAAAAAAATGTCAAAAAAATGTCAAAAAAGAAGATCTGACTTAATGTTTAGGCCTCAGTTACATAATAAACATTATACTAATGAAGATATGATGATAATAGTAGATCATTCACTTACATCCTCAGAAGACACGTCTTTTACCAAGTTTTGACTGAGTTTTCTTGGAAGACTCTTTCAGCACGCTCACAATCCTCAGATTCATCGGCTTGGGGAAGGGTTCCAACACAAATCACATTACAAAATGTTTAACCAACAAGAAAGGTCTTCAAATCCCAAAACTCACATATTGTAGCTTGAAATTCATAAAATATCTGACAATGCCCTATTTTTCATTATTAAAAGTATAAAATTGTAGAATGACATGGAAAGATTTGGTTGAAAAGAGTCATTTTGTGTAATAAACTTAGAACAGTCCATCAAACAAAAATATCCAGCTGACAGGGGATTCTAATCCTGGGGTCAGAAACTGACCACTGATGAAGAACCTGACAACAGTAAAACTGATGAAGTCAAAATTCCCTTAAATTTATGTCATGTATGTATCTCAATTGAGCAGCAACCTTAAATTTAAGTCTGTTGACTTTGTTCATATGTACCAAATATTCAGAGTATTTTACCTTTGTTTTCAGGTTCTTCCAAAGATTACTCCTCACATTGCCTCAGAGATTGACAAAATCCTGGGTAACAAACCCCACAGTAAGAAAGACTACCACCACTGAGGCCCAGTAGGGCCGCTGCTGACGCCTGGACTTCTGGGACTGAGGAGGATGGACCTGTCTGTCGTTTTCGACCCGGGTGTCCCTCACCTGCTCGTCCAGAGATGTGTCGTTCTCAGCGTTCCGGTGTATTCAGGGCCAGTCAACAGAGCCATGCATGCCTCCTCTAGCCCTCAATCCCAAGATCTACTGTGTGTCAGTGTGTATGTGTGAAGACCTCTGTGGACAAACACCTGAACCGTGAAAGCCCATATTCTAAATATGCCAATAGGTGTATTAAGACACAATTAGCGGTTCGTCATCCATATATACCAAAGTCAACCCTCTTTTGACTCTTTCACCACACTGGACTTATCCTCAAAGGGCAGTTAAAACTGATTTGTGTGAATAGTCCAGCCTGACAAAATAAAGCGTCAATCTAGCGGGTGCAATGCCTATGGGATTGAGTTGTGTTAACTGGATTCATCGGTGGGTGACCAAACAAGATGGAAAAACATGCAAACAGTGCTGTGGACTGTTACTGTGTTCTACAAACTGTGCTCCAAATATTATTACCCAACAGAAAAACCAATATTCTCAATTCAAGAAATGTGTCCTTTACCCATTGTAAAAATGTTGTCTGATCAAAGTTGTGCTGTGGTCTATGTTACCATAGATGGATATGAACCTGTTCCAAGGAACCTGCTATTTCTGCTGTTGGATTTGAAGCTTAAATCCCAAGACTGTATGCATTGTATTTATTCATTGGCTTTGCTATGGACAGCAATGGCCATGCTGCTGTGTTCGCTAGCGTTTGAGCTTCAGAGAAAAAAATATATATACTTGCAAACGGTTGTGGTAGGTTGACATTTGGTATGATGCATAGATTATGCGATTTGTTTACGGCTGACCATTCATATGAAATGGTCAAAGTGTTTACAAGTTCGTGAAATGATTAGGCTGTAATACATCATTGTAGAGTTTGTTTTTAGCATTGAAATAAAACGGCTCCTCACCACACATTTGTGCCTTCAGTGATTTATGCAGATTGAGAAGGTGTGATAATAAAAGGGTGATTCCACTGTTTTTCCCCCCAGTTTTCTGTATGATTAAATCAGTAAGATGGAAGTTTACTCAGAGTGGAATGCTCTGGATTATTCACAGCGGTGGTGATAGGAGGTAGACATCTGAAGAGCTTAATGCCTCTAAAAGCTTATTCACAGAAAACTATTTCACTTTTTATTTTTAAAATGTTTACGAATGTGCTGCCTGATGCCTGTTTCCATGGATACTGGAAGTTTACAATCCTAACAAGGACGATCCCGCCTTCTGAAACGTCATTGGACGATTTGACTGCCCCGCTTGAAAACCACGCTTTTTCATTGGCTGCTCATTCTACGTCAAATTCATTCAATTACGTCCGCGCCAAACACTGAAGAAAACAGCTTTCAAAGCAAGAGAGACTGAGTTCACTTCTGTTTAGACCAAACTTGCTAACGTAATTTTTAGCTACTTTATGTCACTCGCTCGTTCCATTAAACACTGCCGCTTTTGCGAAACAGTTACAATAGCTTTAAGTTCGGAGTAAAGCGGCTTGTTTTGCGTCTCCAAGGGGTCGTCGTGTCGTGGCGGCCTGGCAGTCAAACGGTCAGCCAGGCAGAGAAGCTTTCGGTTCTAAGTAAAGATACCGCAGCAGGTGAGTAAAGCGAATTAGAGGAAACAAAATGTGACTCCGGATTAGTTCAGATCCGCTTGTTTGTTTGGTAGTTAGCTAAGCTAGGTAGCTAGCTAGCTGCGCTGGTAAGCAACACTGTTTTTGACCGTTTTTGTTTGTCAAATCTTGTAAGTTAACGTAACAGAGCCTAAGCATCTAACAGTTAGCTAGCGGAAATAAAATCTGCTCTGAAACAGCATTAAGGGGTTCAAGTAGTGCTTGTAAGTTAGTCTTTACAAAAGGGCGTTAAAAGGCCAAAATAAGTAATGTAGTTGAAGGGAGATTTCACCGATTTTTCAACAATTCCACATAATCCAGTCAATGAGACGTAGATAAATCATTCAGAGTGTTTCATTGTCGAGGAACTTGCCGACCGAGATTTCTTTACAGTGGTGGTCATAGGAACCAGGGGGATGATGTCCACCGCACAAAAATGGCAGTTTTATTTACTGTCCAAATCCACCAGTGAATGCATGTTTTTATATATGTAAAGTTTATGATTGTAAAATAATAGTGAATAAGTAAAAATTTCTTTGGGATCTTTTTTTTTTTGTCTTACAACGCCTTGCATTTATATATCCGTCCTGTATTTTAAATACGCACTTTAGACCAAAACCGTAACTAAACCTACCGGCAACAGGTAACATATTCGTTGCTATTTCATGTAAAAGCTTAATGTCAGGGAGTTTTAGAGACATTAAAGCAACCACTGTGAACAGTTCTGACTCACATTTTTCTAGAACGGACTATTTCAAACCATAGCGCTCTGAACGACTATGTTTACATCTTTAAGATTAAATTGTGGAGAAATACTGATAAATAAATCGGTGGAATTCCCTTTAAAATGATGCTCGCGTGGTTCTCCTTGTGCGTTCCGAGTGCAGACGATGTCGCTGTGGCGCCACATCATTGATAAACAGAAGGGCAGTGCTGGCGGTGCCCAGGGCGACAGTGTGTGTTCGGTTCCCAGCGACAGCTCCGGCCGTGAGGGAGATGACTCATCAAACACGAACCAGACTCAGCCCTGTGTCAGGCCTACAGCAAAGAGGAACTTCCTCCAGCACAGTCCACGCTCTGCTACGGGTGAGCTTTTGTTTGTTGCTTTAAAGATGTTGAGTAGTGATGGTGATCATCACCGTTTCCTGTAAGACGCTGAACGGTTAGAGATTTAGCACTCGTGAGGCATGATGATCTGATACTGCTTCAGCAAGAACAGTCGTAACATCTTACGTTTCAAAAGTTTTCACTGTTTGGCACTTCATAAAAATGCTGTTTTTATTATGCTCATCATCAATAACCTGTTGCTTTAGCTGTGGTCCCATCACAAGGAACTGCTGGGGTTTCTTTTAAAGGGGAATTCCACCGATTATTCAGTCATTCAGAGTAGTCTGATGTGAAACAGAAGTATTATCAGTGGTGGTGGTGATAGGAATCCGAAGCACTTAATGGCTCTGAAAGCTATCTCACATTGAATTATTACACAAAACGATTACAAATACACTTCCCGATGCCTGGGACATTATTTTATATATAGTTTGTTTATATTTTATATTATTTCATATGTAGTTTTAGTTATATTTTATATATAGTTTTATGGTAACATCTAGACTAAAAACATATTTAAAAAAAAAAAAACTAAACTGACTGAAGGGTACATGCAGGCTCTTGAAAGGCAACACATTGCCCAAAGAAAATTGTTTTTTTTTTGTTTATTTGTTTGTTTTTTTTCCCCTCAGATTTTCCACTGTTTAATCATTATCAGCATAACACGTCTAAACTCAAATGACACATGTAGGTTCACTGGTTATTTTGAATGGTAAAACAAAATAGCTGTATTTGCGCTGTTCACATCACAACCCCTGGTTCCTATCACTACCACTGTAAAGAAATCTTTGACGGTTGGTTTTCTCTACAATTCAGCAATTTGTCAAACCACTCTTAAAAATCTCTTAAATCAACATTATGTAAAAAAAAATGACCTTAAAAGAGCAGCTTCAAAATCATTTTGATGGTTTACTGACTTAGAATAGAATAATAGAACAGAATGGCGTCTCTGTCATTGTCACTGCTCACTCGGAACACCTGCTGTAGTGCTTTGTAACTTTGGAGGAGTGGGCACAAAACCTCTGGGGAGAACTATGTAATGGTATACAGCACCACGTCACACATCAACAACTATGGCTTCAGCTAGCCAGCTCGCTAATCCCAGTTTGGACATCTTAGCAGAGGATGCCAAAAGACTGAAGAAGATGTTTTAGGAGGAAGAGAAGAAGACAGAGAGACTGAACAAGAGTAAATCTTGGACTGGCTTTTACTCGTTGTTGACAATGTCCTGATGTTAGCTGTAGTGATCTGCATCATGCCTAACAGCAAAATGAATGAAAAGACTTACAGCAGAGTCTAAGTTACAGCCCTGCCATTGCTGTTTATGAAAGACTGCAACATGCAACCACATGTGTCATCCATGGGTCACAAAAGCAATGCAATTGTCATTTAATTCCCCACAGTAAATGCCTGTTTATAAAAATGAAAATAATAAAAATATCTCATGCCATGTTGTCACAAATTGACTAGAAGTCATCCTGCAAATTTAGTGTCTCTTTGGGACATTTGGACTCATTATTTAGTGCAATATTTCTAAACACCTGTAAAATATCATTGTTTTAGCATGCCTAAGCATGAAGATACTAAAAAAATGCCCTAAAGGTTTTTAGTACCTATCTGCAATCTATTTTGACTGTTGAATTACTTATCGGAAAGCTAAGTTAGAAAAGCTAGCTAACACCTCTACCCTGCCTGCCCCAATAGTTACCAAATCCTACATTTGTGCTTTTTAATACAGGCTGGAAATTATGAAATGTACAGAATGTAATCTGCAGTATTCATATATACATGTAATAACCTGACTCTTTATTTGTAGGTGACACCAAAACGAGCCCATCAGTAGTGAAAGACGTTGTCATGTCCGGTCTGCCTAGCTCTCCTGGCCGGGGCCGGGCTCCAGGTTTGTCCTCTGTTGGACTGGAGAGCTCATTGCTCGGGCATTTGCTCTCTGGATCTCCTCAGAGTCACTGCACTGGAAAGAAGGGGTCACAGCTTATACACAATCCTAGTAAGGCCACTGTGACTGTGGATTGGAACACAGCAGAGGTATAACACCAAGGATTTGCAACTTGATTTTAAAACCTGGGTAGCTGAGAATTGTTTTAGATCTTAAAACTGCAACCCTTCTGTTGAACTTCAGTAGAATTGTAACAGTTCACATAAATGAGAGTCGTGAAATGATTTCTGTGTTAGGGCGGATATGTGCATTTTTGCATGCATACAAGCCGCCAGCACTTTGGAGCAAGACTCAATTTTATTGTGTTTATGTGTCTGTATTGTAGGTGGTGGATGTGAACAAGCAAGCTTGCAGGTTATTGGAATGTCCTCGCAGTGATCTCATTGGTCAATCGCTGACATCTATCCTGAAGACCCATCAAACGACTGAGGATGTCTTGGGTGAAGAAAATCTTGACTCCGCCGGGAACTTGATCACTGTTTTCGGAAAAGTGGTACAAAAACTGAAGCGTTTAACCAATAAGACACTATATGTTGCAAAAAGCTTATTAACTGAAATGTTAGTGTCATTCAACAATCTTGTTCTCTGTCTGTAGAACTAAGAAATTCCTACCTAGTTCTCTTTGCAGGTAAACGCAGTGAGTAAGACTGGGGCAGAGTTGCCCGTGTCTGTGTGGACACTGTCACGTGACCACCACACCAGTGTGCTACTCCTGGAGAGAGTGGAGAGGATATCAGCCCACTTCTCCTTCTCTCAAGAGGTCAGATTCTTGATGTTTGTGGGGTAGTTCATAGCATTTTGTTGGCACAAAATTTTCTTTCAGTTCAAATGGGTTGTGTAGAGTACTGTTGATCCAGGAATTCATTAAACAGTACAAAGGGGCTATATAAAGTATGAATTCTTCAGTTCTGGAATGGGAGAACGCTGCTACTGCATAGCTTAAAGCAGAGGTACTAAAATTTGCATTTTGAATCTGGTTTCAGGTCCTGTATTTTGTGGTCAATGGTATTGAACTGTTGACCTAACTCAGGGGTGTCCAGTGCATTGACTGTGTGTGTGTGTGTGTGTGTGTGTGTGTGTGTGTGTGTGTGTGTGTAAGTAAATTGGTCCCAGTCCTACTGCTGTTTTCACTGGGGACCATGGACCGCACAGACACCTTTATGACACAGATCTCCAGTGTGCCGTTTTGTGAATGTGTTAGAATGAAAACTGGCAACCACACCGACCAGTTGTGGATAACATTGG